TCTTTCCCTTTGGTGATGACTTCAGAAGAAAAACTTCTCATTTCTAACCACAATTTCTTATACCCCTTTGGGCCACAGAATATGCCATCTTTTTAGATGCAGTTTAAACAGCTGTGACTTGCTTTTTCCACTTCTCTCAGACTAGTTCCTTTCTTTGAGACAAAGAATACCAGAGGTAGGCTGAAAGGGAAACTTAAACCCTGTGTAGTAGGAAGACAGCTAGCATGTGGTCCCACAATGTAGCTCTTCATTTTGTTATTAGGCCTGGATGTGTAAAAGGCTGAATACAGGCAGCCCTTGACTTATTTTTTTTTTTAATTTTATGTTTAAATGTGTTATGAGAGGGCTGAAAATAGAGAAACTAGGAGACATCAAAGTGTAATAATACAGGCTTACTTGGATTTTTCTTGTCAGTTGCCAAACAAATGTTATCTGCTTGAGGAACATAAGAATAGATTGAACACTTTCTCAGGTCAGGCCAAGATGCTGGGTCTATGCACTGGGTGGCTGAATCTGTGCAAGAGAAGTTTGTCACTTACAAGGAATTTTCGCTTTCTTTTCTTGTACCTATCTCCAAGCATTGCTTCCTCTTTTTCTGTGCCTACAGAAGCTATTGGTCTGTACAACATTGGACAGAACTGTTGTCTGAACTCCCTGCTCCAGGTGTTCTTCATGAATATACACTTCACTAGGATACTTCGAAGGTACTGCCCGCTTGAACTACCTGAGATACTTCCACTGTTGCTCTCTTGTCTCTACTCCTTTTTTATATGGGATGTACATTGGAAAGCTTTGACCATCAAGGGGCTAGCAAGGTGCTTTCAGCTCACTCAGCAAGGTCTCTGCCTTGTTGTGTCTGCCATATACAAGGCGGCCTGCAAAGGTAAAAGTTGCGGTTTTCTGACTTGTTAGTCACCTCTGATTCATGTGCTGGCTGCACACCGGTAAACTGCAGTCCTGAACACTGAATCTTTATGACTTGTATCTCTGTTTTCCATAACATGATATGATTTTATTCCAGATATGCTCACAGGATATGTTGTGTGTAACCATATCCACTATTAATTTTGTAACTTCATGCATGTAAACATAAACATATTGGTGTTCCATAGCCTCTGGCTCCTAGTTGTCCTGGCTAACCCTGATAGGGAAGGATAAGTGTTGTTGCAGATAGCAAACGTAGTGTTATTTTATTTTGTGTGACTGTGCTGTCTACTTGTTTGTGAGGAGGATTTGATCTTCTCCCTCCCTACCAACCACACTAAAAACTGGTTTGATTTTTTTTTTCAGTTTGCTCAGTTCACTGCAGCTTTAATCACCTAAGTGGATCATTCCTGTTCAGTCTTTCTTTATCCAAATTTCTTCTACACTCTCCAGTGTTCAGAGGGGGAAGTGAAGTTACAGGCATGCAGAAATGAGAATTGTCACAAACGGGCAAAGCTAAATAATGTAGACAGTTACCATTGTTATTTGAAGAATAATGGGTTACCATTGTTATTTGAAGAAAGACTTAGAAAAAACCCATGGACTGCAATAAATTTAGGGAGGATAAAGAGCTTTCCAGTTGTCATATAGTTGAAATACAAGCATTATGATATACACACCCATGACATTTTGAGGGTATGTTGAGAATGAAGGCATGAACAGGTGGGAGGCAAGAACAGCTCTGAAACTGGCTGTAACTAATGTTTATAGACCCCAGAAAACACTTCAGGTCCTGCTCAGTTTGCCCCTTATTCAGGGACAGGCCAACTTAAAATTGTGGCCTTTTACTTTGGAACTGTCAGCCTGCACTGTGGGATGAGCTAATGCAGGTGTCTGCTTCCCATTTTTTCATTCTTTTGCTAAAAACATGACCATTCTGGTTCCTCTTGAGTTGCTGTGTCTGCTATCCACCTCTGCTCCTTCAGGTGTCATGTCTAATATTTCTCCATTGTACTGCTTGCTTACCATTCATGTTGTTTCTTCTCTTTTTAGGATCATAGTGCCATCACCTGCTGCGCAGAAGAGGAATGTCCCATACCAAATGCTTCTGCTGTTGGAGGCAATGCAGTGTGGCAAGCGGAAAGCTGTTTCTCCCACAGACCTCGCTTCCTGTCTTTCAGTATACAGAGTGAAATGTAAGCAGCACTGCTTCTTGCCCACCTCTATCTGCAGACCAGGGATGTTAATTATCAAGCACTAACAAGCAGTGCAGACTCTGACATCTCATTCAGTGATTCAGAAATGCGAGGTACATGATGATGTTGTGCATTTTATAGCTGCATCCCAGTTGTGAGTGAGATGTTGTGTCTTACTTGTGAATAGGGAAAAAAAACCAAACCCTGCTGGATATCCTTGCTGACGTCCAAAGGGTGGGAAGACTATCAGACTGCTGGAAGGATCAGCTACTGATAGTGGCCAGAGGAAAAGGGCTATGCAGGGCAGAGAGAGGAAAGCTTATAGCTTGAGTTGTCTTGCTATACTGGCATATTAATAGTGAAACAGCTGCTATTTCTTATTAGAAGGAAGGGATCATGTGGAAAAGATACTGAGTTCACTCAGATCCTCAAGAACAGAAACCATATCCTTCTTGTTCCTTGTTATAAGGGCAGAGAGAAGAATTTGTTGGCTTAACCTTCCATCTGGACAGGGTCCCAAAGGAGAGAGATTGTTAAATACATGGGTGACAGGTGAAAATGGGATGCTGAGGTCTGTTTATGTGTACAAATACACATGCTATACCCAAATGCCCTGATCCTTACCATATAAAAGCCAAAACAGGACAGCACTGAAAGGGACAGATGGTATCCAGCCCAGACCTATATTAAGGATGAACATGAGATAACTTGAATATTTTTGTTGGCATCATTTTTCCCCCTGAGACTGAATGGCTCTGCATGCTGCCTTCTCTCTTCCAGTTAAAGAGAGATGCCCAAAGAGAGCTGGTAAAGCTTGACAGTTTTCCACCTTGTCCTTCTTCATTAAAATTCAAGTGTGGGTCATAAAGTCCTATATCCCAGCAAGTGATGCTTTCCTTGGATTGCAGATGTGGTATTAGATGTGAGGAAAGGTATATTTTCTGAGCTTCCTTTAGTCAAGGGTGTCTGTAATCTTACTAGAACCTAGCTGAAGTCAGTGCCTGTGGACTTGAAGGGAAGTTGAAAGTGCCTCAGGGTGTTGGATTATTCCACAAAATTTGTTTCACCTATGACCGAGCATAGAGGTAGTCCAGAAATATCAGGATTTTGCTAAACTATATGTAGCTTTTGCCCAGTTCCTAAATCTTGAGTTCATCATGAGCTAAGAACATCAGTTTTTCACATTCAAGGATATGGAATTTTTTTTTCCCCCTTAGTTCAATCTTTAAGCAATTCTCTGCTGAGACATTTTAAACAAGCTGTGCATTGAGCTGTATCCCACCATCTTAGATTTCTTAATATGCCAGTTTAGCCGGTGTGGAAAGCCAAAGCATAATATTACTGCTGAAACTCTGTGCTTTTCACCTGTGTAGGATCAAAGGGTTTATACCATTCTGTGGATGAGATGTATGGATAGGCCTCCATATAATTTTTATTTCAGCACTCAGAAGTGTTATAGCCTTAGTGAGGGGATGGGGGAGACAAGTCTGTGGAGTAACAAAGATTAAAAAAGAGAACAGAATCTTCCCTGTGTTATTTCTAAGAAGGACTCAAATAAATGCAACCCTTAACTCAATGAGACATCGGAGCCTTATCCTCTGGTTGGGATTGGGTATACTCTTGGCCCTGCGTCTGGTGATGAGGACGTGACTTTTGCACTGGGTTGTACAATGGGGCACTCAAGCCCTCCCTCCCATCTTTTCCCACTGCCTGCTCTGTTCACATGGAGACATTGCAACCCATCTCCAGTCTAAGCTCTATCACTGGCAGGGAGTAGCAAGGGAACAAGAGACTGGATCTAATGGGGGACAACAAATATCCCTTTGCCATCTGTGGGAGATCTATGCTTGGTGATGTTCATAATACTGACTGAGGTTGTGTTTTCTGCTTTTCCAGTGTTTGTGCAGCATGATGCTGCCCAGCTCTTTTTGACTCTCTGGAACTTGTTAAAGAGGCAGATGCAAAAGCCAGAGCTGGTAAGGACGGTCACTGAAATGAACACCAGGTCCTTTGGCCCTTGTCATGTGTGCCTTCCTCTGTTTCTTGAAGAATCCTGTTCACTGACAATTGTCCTAAATTAAATTCTTAAAATTATCCCCTATTTGGATCTTTCCTCACATCTTTCAAATGGGAGAGGGGAATCTTGATTTCATAGGCTTCAACATTTTGAATCACAGTGAAATTTTGTTCAACCTACTTTTAGGGCATGCCAAGGTCTCCGTTCGAATGGGAGAGCTGATTAATAACAGAAAAATTGATGTTTTGCAACACTGATTTTTAGCTACCTTGCATTTCTTTGTTTCTCAAATTTCTACAAGCGTTTATTGGTGCATCTTGACACAGCTCCTCCGTTCTTTGAAGTCAGCCATGGGCATTTCATTATAATTAGTCATTGTTAGTATGTTATCTATATGACAGTCCCTCCCAGGGAGGCTGTGTAAGGTGAGAGAAAGTGACTCTTCCTAAACCTACTGTTATAGTTTTATTTATACAGAAGACAGGCTCCTGTTGAAGTTCCAAAGAAAATTGTAAAATTCTGCATCAAAACATTTAACTGTCTGATCTTGTTATAGGCTGTGTCTTTCCTCTCTGCTAGGATGAGGGGAAGGAGTTGTTCTCCTTTAAATGGTGGGAAGTACCCTGTCGCATAAGTCAATGCCAGATCCGGGTTCAAGCCTTAAAGCAGTAACACTGGCTGAAGTAACATCTCCACATGGATTTTCCCACCTACAGAGGGAAATACTTCAGCTGTGTTCTTCATAAACCTTGTTTTGGCCTTTTTTTACCCCTCCAGGTTGAAGAGCTGAATGATTTGTACACTATCTGTGTACAGGAGCACCTGGCCTGTCAGAAATGCTCTTTTGAAATTAAAAGGAACAGCAGCATACTAACCCTTCCACTCCCACTGCTGGATTCCAGTTCTCACATGCTGAAAACTCTGGTAAGTTCAGTGGCAGCACTGTTTCCTTAGGAAGAAGATTCCCCTCTGTTCACTGTGGGAGCCTTCTCCTTGCAGCACTGGTGTCTCCTGGGCTCATCTAGAATCTGCAAGAATCTCTGCAAGGTGTCTGGGGCTTTGAGGTGATCTTTTATCATTCACATTTCTTCTTTGTTTTAAGGGGTTCTAAATGTCTCAAAAAAATCGTTTGATTTAGGGGATGGAAAATAAAGTCCTTGAATCGTCTTTCTGAAAAGAGTGTTGACTAAATACTCTGTAAGACTCAAAGACTCGTACCACACAATGAGGTATACCTGTGAGACCTTAGATACCACAGTGAGGTGCCCTAGATAACTTGTAATCCCTGGCCAGACACACTACATTTGCCCACTGTGGTGTTCTTTTACTGTTAAATCATGTCGTGGTTTTAACCCAGCAGGCAGCCAAACCACACAGCCACTCGCTCAATCTCCACTGGCCGCAGTGGGATGGGGGAGAGAAATGGAGGGGTAAAGGTAAGCAGACTCATGGGTTGAGATAAGAACAATTTTATAGTTGAAATAAAATAAATAATAATAGTAATAATAATATAGAAATGAGTGATGCACAATGCAATTCCTCACCAACT